ACTACTGGAATAAAGGTATATATCTGCCTTGAACGAGGAATTCCCAGTAAGCACGAGTCATCAGCTCGTGTTGAGTACGTCCCTGCCCTTTGTGCAAACCGCCCGTCGCAACATCCGATGGAATGATTTAGTGAGGTCCTCGGACTGGCGCTCGGACTGACCTTCGGGTCGAGCCGGTGTGCCGGAAAGTTGATCGAACTTGATCATTAAGAGGAAGTTAACGCGGAACAAGGTTTCCGTAGGTGAACCTGCGGAAGGTCAATTCAAGATGGGTGCCAGTAGGCTCCGACATCGGCCTACTCCCGGGGATCCTTCACTGGCGATCCCCACCTCGACCGCAACTGTCAGTGCCGTGTGGGCGTGCCTGTTTCCCAGCCCTTCGACCTGGGGAAGAGGGAGGTCCTTTGCTGGGCTAGGCTTGAAGAGGGGGCTCGACCTGAGAGAGCTCCCCGCCCCGTTGGTGCCGATGCATTTTCCCCCTTCTCGGAGGAAAACTCTTGATTCGAAACTCTCGAACGCAAAACGACTCTAGTCAGCCGAAACGAAAGTACCACTCCGAGCAGTGGATCACTCGGCTCACGGGTCGGCGAAGAACGCAGAACATGTGGTTCTAATGACCAGTGGTGCGAAGATACCATCTGTGGGATAAGGACTGATCGCCCTAAGTCACCATCCCTTTTAGGCAATAAAAGATGGGTGCCAGTAGGCTCCGACATCGGCCTACATCTGGGGATCCTTCACTGGCGATCCCCGCCTCGAACGCAATTGTCAGTGCCATGTGGGCGTGCCTGTTTCCCATCCCTTCGTCCTGGGGAAGAGGGAGGTCCTTCGCAGGGCTAGGCTTGAANAAGGAGTTTAGCGTGTGCGCGAGTCACTGGGTGGAAAACCTAAAGGCGAAATGAAAGTGAAGGGGGCCTCTGGCCCCCGAGGGAAGATGGGCGTCCGTCCTTCGCAGGCGGCGCCCCGCACTCCCGGGGCGTCTCTTTCTCGTTACGAGTGGAGGCGCACCTGTAGCGCACACGCTGATACCCGAAAGATGGTGAACTATGCCTGGCCAGGACGAAGCCAGGGGAAACCCTGGTGGAGGTCCGCAGCGATTCTGACGTGCAAATCGATCGTCGGAGCTGGGTATAGGGGCGAAAGACCAATCGAACCATCTAGTAGCTGGTTCCCTCTGAAGTTTCCCTCAGGATAGCTTGCGCTCGGTTGAGACGAGTCTCATCCGGTAGAGCGAATGATTAGAGGCCTTGGGGTCGAAACGACCTCAACCTATTCTCAAACTCCAAATAGATGAGATCCCCGGCTTGCTTGAAAGTGAAGCCGCGGGAATCGGATCAGAGTGCAAAGTGGGCCAATTTTGGTAAGCAGAACTGGCGCTGTGGGATGAACCAAACGCAGAGTTAAGGCGCCTGAATCGACGCTCATGTGAAACCATGAAAGGCGTTGGTTGCTTAAGACAGCAGGACGGTGGCCATGGAAGTCGGAATCCGCTAAGGAGTGTGTAACAACTCACCTGCCGAAGCAACTAGCCCTGAAAATGGATGGCGCTCCAGCGTCGAGCCCATACCCGGCCGCTGCGGCAGAACTCCCCCACGAGGAGGCTTACGCCGCAGCGNTGTGTAACAACTCACCTGCCGAAGCAACTAGCCCTGAAAATGGATGGCGCTGTAGCGTCGTGCCTATACTCTGCCGTCAGAGGCAAAGCGGGCGGCTCTCGCGAGCGGCGCCGTTATGCCCTGATGAGTAAGAGGGTCGCGGCGATGTGCGCAGAAGGGTCGGGGCGTGAGCCCGCCTGGAGCCGTCGCCGGTGCAGATCTTGGTGGTAGTAGCAAATACTCCAGCGAGGCCCTGGAGGACTGATGTGGAGAAGGGTTTCTTGTGAACAGCTGTTGCAACATGGGTCAGTCGGCCCTAAGGAATCGGAGAAGTCCGTTCCGAAGCGGGACGTTAAACGTGTTTGTCCCGCTGCCGACCGAAAGGGAATGGGGTTAATATTCCCCAACCCGGACACGGAGATNTCAAGAACGAAAGTTAGAGGTTCGAAGGCGATCAGATACCGCCCTAGTTCTAACCATAAACGATGCCAGCCAGCGATCCGGCTGTGTTCCTCAAATGACACGCCGGGCAGCTTCCGGGAAACCAAAGCTTTTGGGTTCCGGGGGAAGTATGGTTGCAAAGCTGAAACTTAAAGGAATTGACGGAAGGGCACTACCAGAAGTGGAGCCTGCGGCTTAATTTGACCCAACACGGGAAACCTCACCAGGTCAGGACATTGGAATGATTGACAGATTGATAGCTCTTTCTTGATTCAGTGGGTAGTGGTGCATGGCCGTTCTTAGTTGGTGGATCGATTTGTCTGGTTAATTCCGATAACGAACGAGACTCTAGCCTATTAACTAGACGCGTTTGGTATCGAATCTACCGGCGAACAATATTCTTCTTAAGGGGACAGGCGGCTTTTAGCCGCACGAGATTGAGCAATAACAGGTCTGTGATGCCCTTAGATGTCCTGGGCCGCACGCGCGCTACACTGAAGGAATCAGCGTGTGCGTTCCCTTGGCCGAAAGGTCCGGGTAACCCGCTGAACCTCCTTCGTGCTAGGAATTGGGGCTTGCAATTGTTCCCCATGAACGAGGAATTCCCAGTAAGCGCGAGTCATAAGCTCGCGTTGATTACGTCCCTGCCCTTTGTACACACCGCCCGTCGCTACTACTGATTGAATAATTTAGTGAGGTCTTCGGACCGGTGCGCGAAAGGAAGCCTCGTGCGTTTCTTTCGACGTTCATCGGAAAGATGACCGAACTTGATTATTTAGAAGAAGTAAAAGTCGTAACAAGGTTTCCGTAGGTGAACCTGCGGAAGGATCATTACTGTTGTTGTGACGCGACTCTCTTTAAGGCTTGGGAGAGCGCGCACAGAAACACACATAGAATGGGGTGATTGATGATGGTTTGTTTATTTTTGTCGGCGACGACGGCGGAGTCTGACACGACGCAAACACACACTATAATTATTAGTGTGTGTAAGAATGGGCGGCGAAAAAATGACGATGAGATGCACAGAGAGGAGCATAAAAAAAGAGAATGGAATGGCGGCAAACAACCCCGAACGGTGGATCACTTGGCTCGTGGGTCGATGAAGAACGCAGCAAACTGCGCGTCATTGTGTAAAATGCAGATCACACGAACATCGACATGTCGAACGCACATTGCTGGTCCGAAACCTTAGCGTTTCGGACCACGTACATCCGAGGGTCGGTATCGACTCAATACCAATCAGTACGAGTTAGGCACGACTCTCCTCTGACGAGGCTCGAGTCTGCCGCCAGTTCTGCCAGCAGCGCGCGCGGTTACACGCGCGCGCGCGCGCTCGGCTTGCATGGAAGTTCACCGCGCTGCGCGCACGGCGTCTTCTGAAATACTTTTGCGCGCGTTGTCCCTCTCTGTTGTGGGGCGCGCACGCAAAAATCAGAACCTCACGCACATGGATAAGTGTAGTTTTGTTGTTGTTGAGACACGGCGGCGGCTTCTGCCGAGCGAGCGAGCGTCCAAGCCAAGGTCCTTGGTCTCATTTTCTTCAAAGCTTCATCAGTGTTGTTGTTGTCGAGAGGGTTTTCGGTGGCCGATGAGAATGTCAATATATGAGCGAAAAAGGCCTACACTAATAAAGAGCAAGGAGAAAATGATGAACAACACATAGAGTAGAGAGACCGGACGACGGCGCGAGACTTTGGCGAGAGGAAAACAAAACACACAAAACATCCGTTGTGAGCGTTCGAGCCATCAACTCTTATCGCGCGCGCGCGTTGAGGAGAGAATTCTGTCGAATGACCTCGGACTGTACGGGAGTACCCGGTGGATTTAAGCATATCGATAAGCGGAGGAAAAGAAACTAACAAGGATTCCCCTAGTAGCGGCGAGCGAAGAGGGAAAAGCCCAGCACCGAATCCCCGGAGCCGAGTGCTTCGTCGTGGAAATGTGGTGTTTGGGTGGTCCCGCTTATCCTGGGCGTTGGCCGGTGCGTTCAAGTCCACCTTGAAAGGGGCCATGGCCCAGAGAGGGTGCCAGGCCCGTAGAGACCGCTGCGCCCGCCCAGGAGGGTACCACTCTAGAGTCGGGTTGCTTGGAAATGCAGCCCTAAGCAGGTGGTAAACTCCATCTAAGGCTAAATATGACCACGAGACCGATAGCGAACAAGTACCGTGAGGTAAAGTTGAAAAGAACTTTGAAGAGAGAGTTCAACGAGTACGTGAAACCGTTCGGGGGTAAACGGACGAGACCCGATGAACGCGACGGCGAGGACTCAGGCGTTGTGTCGAGCGGACCCGGGCGGTAGCGTGTTGGCTTCACGTCGGGCACGTCGTCCTCACGGGCGGTGCGCTTTGATTGTGAACGCTACGCGAGGCCGTCTCTTGCGGGCATTGTCCGTTCGGCCAATCCGATTTTCCTCGCCGCAGTGGAACGTCGCAACTCGCTGGGAAGCGGTCAGACGGCGTTCGAGTGGAGTTTGGAGCGGATGCTGGGTCCTCGGGAGAGGAGTGCTCGGCGGTCCGTCAAACCTCGAGCTGTCCCGGCCGGAGTCCCGGCGGTAGTTAAACGGACATGGTTGAATACGCTCAATTAGGCGGAGCGTGCCGAGCACTGGTCGTCGGCCTTGGTTTTGCTCCGGCGAATGTCGCACGGCTTTGCGGTCGTCTTCTTCGTTGTGGCTCGCAAAACTCGACGATCGGCTCGTGGGCACAGTATTTCAGAGCCAGTTTGCGACGACATACCGAGTCGAGCTCTCGTTCGACCCGTCTTGAAACACGGACCAAGGAGTCTAACGTGTGTGCGAGTCGTTGGGTGCCCACGCACCGGCCGTTAGCGGTCGGACCTGCGTGAACACACCGGACGAAACCCGAAGGCGAAATGAAAATGAAGACTGTCGTCGAACGCACACTTCGGTGTGTGTGTCGATTCGGTCGAGGGAAGATGGCGTCAGATCCGGCACGCGTGTGTGCGAACACACGTGCGCGCAGATCGGCCCGCATTCCCGGGGTGTCTCGATCGCCGCTCGCAAGAGTGACGAGAGGCGCGCCCAGAGCACACACGCTGGGACCCGAAAGATGGTGAACTATGCCTGGCCAGGACGAAGTCAGGGGAAACTCTGATGGAGGTCCGAAACGATTCTGACGTGCAAATCGATCGTCTGAGCTGGGTATAGGGGCGAAAGACTAATCGAACTATCTAGTAGCTGGTTCCCTCCAATTCTAAAGTGTTTAAACATAAAATTCAGGTATATAAATTCGTTAATGGATATTCGATAAAATATGATTTCTTTTTTAATACTTCGAGAATTTTTTGCACTCATGTTTAAAAAGTGTGCGTAACATTTATTCATAGTTAAATAATGCTTTAAATATAAAATGTTTGTTTTCAATTAAATTGCGCAGCATGTGCAACAAAAATATTTTTTAATTAACACAAAATCACTTGTTTCTTTTAGTTAAATGATTTTGTAATGCTTTATTTTAACTGTTTTAAATAAGTGATGAATAATTTCCACTTTTTATTACGAAATAAATAATTTGAAAAATTTTCAGTCGAAAATGCAATTTGCATACGTTCCCTTTGGTCGATTGTGCAAGTTGTATACGGTCCCTTTTAATAGTTACCCTTCTTTTCGCTACCCCTCTTTAACAAGTGCTGGCCTTAGCTGGCTTCCTATTGGTCGTCATCTACTCACCCTTCGCTCCTATTGGCCGTTGCTCAAAACCCTCTTAAAATATCTTAAAATGCTGATAGAAACCGCCTGATAGAAACTGCATTTTTTTCATTTTCATTTTCCTATAACCGAGCTCTCACAAGAAGCGATCCCGTAGCGGTTTTCTGTTATTATACAGGCTCCGCGAGAAGCGATCCTGCGTTGTTGAAGCAGACGTGCAGTTACTGAGAAGATTTTGGAGCCTCAGTGGTAAATATAATCAAGGATCTCATTTTTGAGATGGAGAGGAGAAGTAGCGAGAGTGGTAGCGGAAGAGTGGCCGGCGAGTGCGTCGGAAGCAGCGGTGGCTTGCCGCTGGGCTTCGCGGCGGTACCCGGTCTAGACGTAGCGGTTCACGCATCAGGGGCAAATGCGATGAACGGAGAGAGCGTTAGGCAATATTTAGAGGCTTTCACACATTATTAGAGTCTTTCACACATAGACTTTCTACTTTTTCGTTCCACTGCCTCGTTTTAAAGTTTTTGCACNACGTGAGTGTAGTTAAAAGTAGCAGTGATGGGGCACTGGCTAGTATGGTAGAAGAGTTGAAAGGGTGGAGAGAAGTAATGGCTGAGTTAAATCGTAAGATTGATAATCTCACGGCAGAGAATGAAAAGTTGAGACAAGAGAATAGACATTTGCGAAAAGCGTTGACTCAGAGAGAGGAGATGCCCACTCCTACTCTAAAAGAGAAAGTGACAGAGCCGATCAAGGAATCGACGGCTAATGTAAAACAAACCTACGCAAACGTTGCCTCTAAAAAGAGGAAAAAGACTAACAATAGCAGAAAAGTTGGCATGAATGGTGATGATAAGAAAGTAAACATGGAAAGTTAAAACAAATAATTAATGATAGCAGTTAAACCTGGACAACGATAAGTAAGCCACTGAGAGAAATCCATATTAATGGATTTACAGGAAAAGTATTCGGGGATACTTTGAAACTAAATTTATCGTGTGAAGATGACTATAGATGTGTTACTCGATATTTCAGAGAGATTAATGTAAAGTTTCACACATTCGAACTGCAAACAGAAAAGCCGCTTAGGGTGGTCCTAAAAGACATCCCTGCGACCACAGAGGTAAGCGAAGTAGAAAGTGCTCTTATTGAACAAGGATTCACCTTACAAAAGGTAAAGCAAATGAAAAGTTTCAGAGATGGGGCTCTCAAGAAACTCCGACTTTTCATAGTGACGATGCCCAAGACAGAGAAAAGCAAAGAGATATTTGATCTAATTTTCCCCATGAACTTAAAGATCAAAGTTGAATCGTACAAAGGCAGGACCAACCATGTAACCCAGTGTTACAGATGCCAAGGATTCAATCACGTGAAGGATTCTTGCGATCAAGACATAAAATGTCTTAAGTGTGGAGAGAGGCACTTCACACACTTATGTGAAAAAAGTAAGAGTAGCCCAGCAAAATGTGCAAACTGTGGGGGCCAGCACCCCTCAAACTTTAGAAATTGTCCTAAATACCCAAAAGGACAAAACAAAGGACCCCGTATGGGGTACCAAAATCGGACCACAAATAGAGATCATGATACTGACAATCTGAACACCTTAGGTGATGCTCGACTAGTAATGACTGAGCTTAAACACTTGGTAAATTCGATCAAAAAAGAAGGCTTAATTGACCTGTTAAAAACCCTGAAATCCATAACTCATGATGAGTTGTACAAACACAAGGAAAAGCCACTTGAATTTGTTCAACTGGAACGCAAACGAACTGAAAAATAAGTTAGTGGAGCTTAAAGAGTTTATAACAGAATACGATCCCGACGTATTTGTTATCACAGAAACTCACCTTAACAAACAGTGTAATATCAAAGTCCCTAATTACACAACATATAGATGTGACAGAAGATACAGAGGAGGTGGAGTAGCGATCCTAGCTAAGAACAGTCTGAATCATAATGAGTATGATCAGATAAACGAAAATGGTATTGAGTATGTATCTATCCTATTAAACTACAACAATGATACAATTAAAATAGCGGGTCTTTACAACGCACCCACTCATACCATATCAGCGGCACAGCTAAAATGCATGTTTAAAGGTGGCTATGACACAATTGTAGCTGGCGACTACAATTCCAAACACACGATATGGGGCTGTAACAAGTCGAATGTAAATGGAATAAACTTAAAAAAGTTGGTCAATAAATACTCTCTCACAGTGGTAGCACCTTTAGAGCCCACATACTACCCAGTAATGAGAAATCAGATTCCCGACATATTAGACTTTGCTTTAACTAATATGAAAGTACCAATGGCTGCAAGTACGATAAATGATCTATCATCAGATCATCATCCTGTTTTAACCTCTGTTGGCGTAACAATTGAAAAAAGCCCAAGAATGATTAATAGTACAAACTGGAACCTTTATGAAAATATCCTAAAAAGAAACAAAATAGCAGAACAAAACCTAGATACAACTGACTGCATTGATAACGCAATAAGGCACTTCCAAACTTCCATACAAGAGGCTCATACCGAAGCAAGTACTTCTAGAGA